CGAGATCATCCGCAGACTCGAAGCGAAGGACAAAGTGACTTCTGCTGAGTTTGAGTTGGTCAACGGCTTGCTGTTCCTCGAGAAGGCTGGGAATAAACGTTTGTGTGTCCCAAATAACGAGTGTTTGCGTAGTCTGTTTTTAGGAGAGTGCCATAATGCCACCGGCCATTTTGGATACAAGAAGACCGCAGCGAATCTGCTGCAGCGGTTCTGGTGGCCCACGATGATGCGAGATGCCCAGCTGTACGTAGAGACTTGTCAAGTATGTCAGAGGGACAAGCCACGTACGCAAGCTCCTCTTGGGCTCCTGAAGCCCCTTCCGATTCCGGAAAGGCCTGGTGAGAGTTTGTCCATGGACTTCATGGATACGCTGGTCACCAGCAAGAGTGGGATGAGACACATCTTCGTTATCGTGGATAGATTTATTAAGTATGCTAGGTTAGTAGCAATGCCGGAAACAGCAAGGACGGAGTATGTGATTAGAATGTTCAAAGAGAACTGGGTTAGAGACTTTGGTTTACCAAAGTCTATTATTAGTGACAGGGATGTTCGATTTACCAGCGAATTGTGGAAGGCCGCTGCTGCAGAGCAGGGAACCCAGTTGCAGATGACTTCTGGGAATCACCTGGAGGCCAACGGCCAGGCCGAGCAACTGAACCGCGTTGTACAACATCTGTTGAGGCATTACATCAAGCCCAGCCAGGTGGAATGGGATGAGAAGCTTGCTCTCATCGCCAGTTTGTACAACAATGCGGTACACAGCGCCACCGGGACGAGCCCGAACAGTTTGCTATTGACTTTCAAGCCCAGACTACCCTTAGATTTTCTCTTTCCTGAGAATCAGTCAACTTCTGCACCAGGTACTTTAGAATTTGCTTACCGTTATGAACAGAAGATGCAGCAGGTTGTAGAACAGATGCAAAAGGCACAGGCGGCTATGATAGAATCTGTGAACAAACACCGCCGTGAGTCTTCATTTCAGGTTGGGGATAGAGTCTGGGTTAAGTCCTCAGAACTGGGACAGGAGCACGGGATCTCCCGCAAGCTCATGCCACAATACTTTGGACCATGGGAAGTCTTAGATATTGTTGGGACTGATCCAGATGGACCTTCTTACGTAGTCCGGATCCCTGGTCATCTCCGTACTTACCCTGTCTTTCACGCCTCCAAGCTTGCACCATTCAAAGAAACAAATCAGTTTCCATCTTGCCACTCAATGTTGGCCCCAACCATGGACGGAGAGGTGGATATCGATGACATCGTTGACCACAGGGAGCTGCCAGTGGCCAGACCAACAGGCAGGGGACGCCCTTTGAAACCGAAGCTGCAGTACCGCGTTCGGTTTCGGCATCACATTGATCCGAAGGAGGACCGCTGGTTCACCAGCGAGGAACTCATGCAGACCGCTCCTCAAGTTGTAGCCCATTACGAGAGATCTCTGCAGAAGGGAAAGCGCCCAATGATTGAAGACTGAGCTTCTCAGAGGACTGTTGAAGCTAAGGAGGAGGGAATGCGAGGCCAATGCCTCTATGAGCCCCTTTATGGCCCCATTCGAAAGCAAGTCGGCCGCCCTAAGTGAAGGCAGGCTCGACGAGGCCCTCAGGGCCCTCTTTTGGTCACCACGCAACTCATGGAAATTCAGGCAGTTGCGCAGCGCCAGTTGGTTGAGAGGACCCAGGCCCTGGGCCGCCTATGTGAATGTATGGAAAGCAGGCCCTGGGCTGGATACGGGTACTGGGCCGAACACAGGCCACAGGCAGTTGGGCACATGCAACCACCTTAGGCCCAAGGCCTGCTCTCGTTCGTGCTRGGCCTYAGGCTAYCGGGGCCTACTGGAAGCTTCCTGGGACTGGACGCAGGCAGRCCACTTCGATATAGCAAAGGGCCTGCCTCRGCATTCGGCATTCGGGTGCTGGCTGCATGCTGCGCAAGCGCTGCTGCGCTATTTGCTGGCTGGCGCCTACGCGCTCACGGGCGAGCAGGGAAGGAGCAGGCAGCCATAGCCGAGCTGCKCTGCTGTAAGCTGGGTGTGGCGCAGGGTGGTCCTTGGGTGCAAGTGGCATCTGTGTGCTGGGGAACGAGGTTGTGAGTGTGGCGAGAGACATACCTGGTGCTGGAAGCGTGCGACATTGATCGCTGTATGCTCGTACTTCGGGAAAGCTTTTGACGTCAKCATTTGGCATTGTAGTCTAGGTTAGATAGGATYTGCCATCTGTAGTCTGGGCGCCGAGCGCCAGATAGGATATCAACATTGGTTCTTCATTGATGATGATGATGAGACTTTACCAGCATTGTCAATTTTGAGCTCTTGGTGTCTTCTTTAAAAGGGCCTTTACCCGATTCAACCCCTGTTCGACGAAAGCAGCATATTGGGGTTCCTCGCCCCGAGCCCAATTCGTGAAAGCAGATCAAAAGACATGTTCTCTGGGTCAAAGGTCACATCCTGGCTAAAGTAAAGACAATGTCATAGGTCATGGTTGAGCCCTGGACGAACAGTCATCATGTTTGGATTTGTGGGTCATATCTGTTCGCCAGAGGCAATGCAATTCGTATCTAGTCAGACAAGGGATGTGTCTGTACGTACAGTCAATGTGTCTGTTCGTGCAGAAGAGTGTCTGTTTGTGCAGAAAGAGTGTCTGTTCGTGCATTAGGTGTGTCTGTCCAGCAGAAGTCAAAGAGTTAAGTTCCAGTCCAGATTCTAGTCAGGGAGAGTCTAGATTCAGATTGGGGGTCCGAAATCAAGGCCTGAAGGCCGCAGCAGCAGCAACCCCTGAAGGAAAGGGATCTGGGACACATACACAAAGGCTGGGACTGGGAAAGGACCAGGACAGACAACATTCAGACCTCGCCAGGGGAGGCCAGCACTATAAGAAACGAGGCAGCCTCCCCCACAGATACATTCCCATAGGCATTGATGCGTGGAAGTTTTGAGGCACTTGTGCGCTATAGTGCTGGGAGAGGCGCTGGCTGAAGAAGAGCTGCACCAAGAAGAAGGGAGGCTGGGGGCTGGCTACAGGGAAGCCATAGCTGCGCCAGCCTTTGTCAGTAGTAGGAGAGATAGATAGTAGTGGGATATCAGTGAGTTACATTCAGAGTAGATCTTCGTAGGTGAGAGTGTGCATGCATAGTGAAAGGAAGAGAACCAAGACAGAGTTATTGATAGAGAAGAGAGCAAGAGAGAGAAGACAGGGAGTGAGTCTGGATATGGTGGACACTTACCTGTTGGCGCCACACTTGTGATTTGAAGGAGAACGCTGGCTGAGCCAGGTTCCACGCAGTTGTATGACGAGGGAGACTTACCTCTTGTTGGCGCTGAACGCTGGAACTCATGATACTCTTTGTATTAAGTGACATTGATAATATCAGCTGCGCTACTTGGTTCTTATCTCATCTCAACCTGGTTTTGTGTGAGACCACTTTGTACGTGTGATGACATGTATGCATGCGATTTGATGCACTCGAGCAAGCTGTGAACAATCAGGTTCCTTGCATCTTATTTGGTGAAACTCATGATGCAATTCTGCTGTTGGTTCGAGGTCACGACTATCTGGTCTTGTGTATATGATG